GTTGTATTGTGATTTCCCACAAATCTCAATAAACAATGAGCTCGTGTTTGACACACAGTGTTTCTAAGACTGTTTGGTTGATATTCTTGTGTTTGAATCCCCACGTAGGCCAGTCAGGGGCAACGAAGGATCGAGGGGGTGTAAATGCCCAGGACGGGATTATCAGGTTGATACTGTGGCAGTCTGACATGGAAAGAAGAAAAATAGAAAAATAAAATGATATAAATGAAAAAGAAAGAAAATAGTTTCCAGATGTGTATAATATTAATGATATGAATGTTTATTGAAGTAAAAATCACATTTAAGAGTTAAAGGGCTGAAACTCTCATTTGTTGGTGAAACATGATTTACTGTACAGACAAACTAACCATGTTTTGGATACATTATTTATGTATTATTTTGATACAATTCAAAATAATTTGGTTTTCTATTAAAATATCTTTGGCTGAGATGAAGAACTTTCAGATATGAAGAAATGCAAACTTTGAAAAAGGCTGTAATTCCACTAATAAACCAGTTTTGTTTGTGGTGATGTCCTGAACTGTGGAAAGAATAAAACAGACATCGGGGGGAGGCCTTCTGCTTAAATAAATATGTACTGCTTAAGACACTGAGGATTTAAGTGACTCGGAGGCATAGTTGGGGTATCATGTTGAGGCTGAAGCAGGGGAAGTGTGTTAGCTTGAGCGTGCCACCACACTGGAGTCCGATCAGCTCCGCCTGGATGTTTACAGGTGCTGATTACTGAGCAGTTTGCATTGTTGAGGCGTCTCCTTCACTTTCCTCGTGCAGCTTGAAAAAGTCATTGAGCATGTTTTGACTTAGCCATCGCACCTCAGTGTGATAGGCACCCAGAGAGCAAGCGGGGATCTAAACCACTGGCCTTGAGGAAGCTAACCGAGTGTTGGCCGGCTCATTAAATGTTCAATATTCAGGGATTTACTGCATAGTGTTTCCTGGTTTATGATGCAGTGATTGGACGTCTCTCTCTGCATCTTTTCCCAGCATCTTGTTTGTTCATCGTGCATCACACCCACTCTGTTGTTGTTAGCATCATACGTTTGTCCAAATGCAGTTTCATGTCTTTTGTGCATTTCAAACATCTATCTGCTCCTTCCATGCATTGATTGAATCCTCAAAAGTTCCTGTTTAACACATAAAGTGGAGTCAAATCTATGGATGAAAAAGACCAACTGTGAAGCATCAGTCAGTGCTCTTATCCACAGCAAGGGAGTGTGTGATGAAGTCTTTCCATCAACTGTGCTTTTAAGTCAGTGGCACGCTCACGTACAGCAGCAGCAGTGATTGTGTTCGTGAGCTCAGGCAAACGTTTGAAAATGCACGAGACGTCGTCGCTGAGCCGACTTCGATATCTCTGGTAAACACAGGTTTACCAGCAGCGTCTGCATCCCACCATGTTTTGGTCATTTCTTTTAGGGGTTTGCTTTAACCCTTTAAAACCGGTCGGAGC